GATGTCCATAAATATATTGGAAGCAGGCCACACCCCTAGGGAAACTCCCTTTCAATGGATTGGTTGCTCAAAACATATACATCTGATCCCATCATGGGAATAACCCACATCACAATTGCTTAAATCACACAGAATTGTGGTCCAGCCAAGTTGACACACAGCTCCAACTATCACAGGTATGTTCTCTTTTACCTAGACATACCTGGTCATTTAGCCTTTTTACCTATGTATCTACCAGTAATTTAATGCTTGTTATTAGTGATAATGCTGTATTGTGTATGTAAAAGTGCTTATGTTTGTTGCCTGTACCTCTTGTGCACCTCTCTTCCTTTTCCTTAGTGTTAATGTGTTGGTCACTCGATGCAAGGACTTGGTTTCAGCATCTTCTGACCTCCTCTAACTTCAAAAGAGGAAGATAGAATCACCATCAGCAGCCCAAGGTTTATTCCTATGAGGCCAGACATGGCACCGTCCTCCAGTCTTTTACCAATTCTGACACCAACTGTCCCTCCCATGGCACTCACTGCATCTCTGCTGGGTTTGGTAATTCCTTGGAATGGCCGCACAGAACTCACAGACAGTGCTCACAATTATGTGGTTTATTAGGGAAGTAACAGGCTATAATTCAGGTTCAAGAACATGTGCAGGATACAATTCTTTTATCAGGACAGTCTCCCTTCTGCCGTGCCCTCAAACATACCCTCTCTGGTCCTTGGGCTCTAGGCCTGGCTTCTTCCCTGCTTAGGCAAATGGTACAAAGCTTTTTTAGCTCTGCCAGTAGGTATACTTAGGTGCACCCCACCTAGACATACCTATCCTCTTGCCCAACGGCACTCAGCTTTCTAGCCCTGCACGCCAGGTAAGCCCACTGCTCTGTCTCGTGCCTCTTGATTCCACTGTGACCGTCTCTCTACCGGGGCATCTCTCTCTGTTGGGCCGTCAGCCTGGCGTCTCTGCCAAGGAGGTCCAGTGCAGGGATCTCGGGTCCAAGGATGTGCTCTATTTCACCTCTTGCTCTTCTCTTTTGATGGTAATGAGATCCCCCTCTCTGTCTCTAGGCATGCTCGTTTTAAGCCTGGGACCAAAGAAGTTGATTTCAACTCATAGCGACCCCTCCTTGGGTTTCCAAGGTGGTATCACTACAGAAGTAGATTGTCCAATCTTCCTTCTGAGGAGTGGCTGGTAGGTTTGAACTGCCAGCCTTCTGGTTAGCAGTCAAATGTCTCAGGCACTATGCCACCAGAGCCTGGCAGAGTGACAAAAATTAAGCAATCCCAACATCAGATTTCTGCACACCTTATTTGTATGGTCCCACTCAGTGATCTGGTGGGAGTTCCAAAGACTATGGCTAGAAAATCCATAACAAGTAATTCAATGCACCACACTCAATTTTGGTATATTGCCTTTCCCTTCTCTCAGATCAATACTTATCTCTTACCTATCTAGCAATTTTCCCTCTGCCCCCCTCCCCTCCTATCTCTGGTAACCAACAAAGAAAGTTTCCTTCCATTTGTAAACCTTTCCTTGATTTTTTACAATAGTAGACTCATACAGTATTTTTCCTTCTGTGACTGATTTCACTCAGCATAATGTCCTCCAAGGAGCTCTCGTAGCATAGTGCCTAAGGCATTTGAGTGCTAACCAGAAGGTTGGCAGTTCAAACCCACCAGTCTCTACAGAAGGAAGACTGGGCAATCTACCTGCATACAAATTTACCATCTTGAAAACGCAACCAAAAAAACCGAACTCACTGTCCTCGAATCACATCTGATTCACAGCGACCACTTCCTTGGGTTTCTAAGGTGGTATTTCTAC